CCTTTTTTTTTTTGGGGAAAAAAAAACCCCGCCCAACATCCCCCCCCCCCCCGCGTGGGAGGGGAAAAAAAACCCCCGCCTCCCCCCCCCCCTTTTGGGGGGGGGGGGGGAAAAATTTTTACCCCCCTCGGGCCCCCCCCCCCAAGGGAACCCCCCCTCCCCCCCCCCCCCCCCCCCCCTTTTTTGGGGCCCCCCTTGGGAAAAAAGAAAAAACCCTTTGGCCCTTCTTTGATGGGGGGGGGGGTTCCCCGCCCCCCCCCTTTGGGGGCCCCCGGGGGGGTAAAGGTTTTACCCGTTAGGCCGGCCACCCAAAAAAAAATGTTCCCCCCCCCCCCCCCCCCCCCCGATCTGCGCACGCGTTTCCTCAACAACCCTTTGCTACTACTTGCCTCGCCCGAAGTGCTTCCCCGCGTGCTCCAGTCGGAAGTGCGGTCCTGGAGCTGAATATCGAGGGTTGGCCTCTTTCGGTGGAAGAGCCGCCGGATCTTCTTCCCCAAGCTGTCCGACTTGTTGCTGCCGCCTTGGCTCGTCGCGGGAGACCCCGGCCGTGCGGTCGACCTATGGTTGTTGCGAAGAATCAGAAAGCAGCAGTGGCGGGAAAAAAGGCACCAACAGGCGCACGTCCAGACGCCCACACGCAGACACGATGAAACACAAGGCAAGTTGCCGTTTCCGGGTGCGGGAGGGCAATGGAATTATGGGACGGGCAACTCGCAATGCATGTGCCCCGCCAATGATGTAGATACCTCGCAGCTCACGACCATGCAGCTAAGGCCTTAGTGTGCCGCCCACGCTCACTCCTGCGGGAGAGGAAGCGGCTTCAATATTGATCACGCAGAACCAAGCGATGGGCGATTGACTCGCTCTACAGCAGTACGGAAACAATGCCAGAGAGAGAAACAAACAGCGTTTCGCCAAAGAAAAGCATGGTGGGCAGGACCAGAGGCCGACTTCCATCCTCACAAGCAAAACCTCTCTACACTCTTCTTCAAGATGGTGCCGCACATTCACTCCGCGGCTGCCGCCGTTAAACAGGAACAGCCGTGGGCCCTCCACAAGGCGGGTGTGTGCTAAACCGATCCACCCGCGACCCTTTGCTCCTGCGCGCGATGGGCCGCTCTGTGTTACACCGCCACTTGTACCAACACACACCAATCATGTTGATCATCACTTTCATATCAGCCCTCACTACCTGGTCAAGGGGCTGTCTCCAATCCGTCGTCACAAACAAGATAGTCTTCTCTCTCCCTGAGCCCCCACCCCCACCCCCAGCCCCAGCCCCACCCCTCCCTGTTTGATGCACCGTTAAGTCTAAATTCAAGCCTTTCGCGTGACACGCACCTGGCGAATCCCCTCCTCCCGCGGCCGCCGCGCGTGCTGCCCTGGCCCTCCACAGGGGAGTACCCGTTTTCTCTTCCTGCCCCCCGCCCCCTGGAAGACTTGGGGGTGATGCCCGACCTCGGCGTGGCGCCGGGGGAGCGCATGGGAGACTGCGGCATGGGGACCGCTACAACACAAAAATAAAAAAACGACAAACGCGGTCCCGAAAAAGACACCCGAGGATGATGAGGGGGGTTTCATCAAACACGTCCAACAGACATGATGAGTTGTCAACGACGTCATCTCTCACAAAAAAAAACACAAACACACACACACATGTACAATCAACAACAGCAAACGTCCCTCAAGGCAAAAAAAAAAAACACTCTTCCAGGCAAGGTTAACAACAACGACGGCAACGACGAGGACGACGACAACACACAAATGCCAGCAGACTCACAGTCGTCCGGGAAGCAGGCCCCCGCCCACTTGTGCACCCTTCTCGTGTGGACCATGGACCTCAGCTTCGCCCCCCCCATCCCTGACTGCTTGAGCATCAGAAACGAGCCCTTGTACTTGTCGCGGCTGAGCTGCCGTATGCCCGGTATTCCCCTGCAAATGAAAACAGAGAAACCGGGGGGGGGGGTCCTTGTTGCTCGCGTTAGTCAGTCTAGACCAATGAACGCAGTGGCGGGGGCACCCTAGACAAAACAGGGGGTGGGGGGGGGTTCACTTGTTGCTCGCGGCAGTCAGTCTTGACCAATAAAATCATTGATCGGGAGCACCGCCGTTTCACTCTGTATACATATTTTCATTCGCTTGTATTGATCGTTGAGGTTCCCTAGACTCTTCCGAGCCAAAACTGTGTAGTAGCCAGTTCCAGCTGTGGGCTCGTCCTGCTGCCTGATTTTGTTTCCACCTTGCGTCGCTCCCCTTTGATGACCCTGCGCTCGCATGTGAGCCCACTCCGGAATGGGGCTTGCTATGCCAAACCAGATATATGCGATGCCATGCGGTGGGTGGGCATCCCGGCTGACCAAACGTTAACGTGTTACGTCGGGCGGGGATGTGAAAGCACAACAACAACAACAAGTGCAACCAAACACTCACGAAAAGGCGGAGAACGGGTCGATCTCTCGGATGTAGCAGTTTCCGACCAGCCCCGTACCGTTCCCCCAGCCGTGGAACAAGACGGTATCGCACTCGTTGGAAAACCTGTATGTCACACGTCACACACAAACAAGAAGAAGAATGCCGGCGTTCGTAAAGAGATACTGGGGAGGAGAATGGGGTGAATAAGACCTTACAGACATGGGGGACGTTCGAAAACGGACGTGTTCGAACATATTGAGAAGAAGAGGGTGGATAGGCCCGTACAGGCATGGAGACGTTCAGAGGAAGATTTTGATCACGGAGGGCGACAGCGAGGGAGCAAAACAGGCAGGGACCACAGCACGGAGAGGGAGAGGGACACGGGGACGCAGACCGAGAGACGATTATGGGGGGAAAGAGAAAGAAGACACGGGGGACAAGAACGACCGAAAAAACTCGCCAATGAGCACGATGTTGTCATCCCGCTCGGTTTCTCATTCTTGCTCCATTTGTTTCTTCCTTGAGATCCTGCAAATAGGCCGCTGCAAGCTTGGTTCCCTGCAGCTAACTAGCGAAGCAACACGTGTTGGTCGTCACACGTCGCGACCTACATTTCCACGAGAAAAGCCTCAAAAGAAAATAAAAAAACACTCCCCCCTTCCAGTCCAGAGCGGATATTAAACAGCCATGCTGAACGCCAAAAAAAAACACAAAAAGCGCCTGCCTTGAGTGGAAAGAGCGGAAGATATGCAACCAGCAACAATCACATTAAGCATAAACAAAACATTTGAACCAGGAAGAGCAAACAAAATCGGACCAACATAAAAAACACAAAAATAACTCACTTGCACTGGAGGGCTAGCGCCGTCTGGTTCGTCCGAGCGTTCAACTTGTACTTGCCCGTAATCTTGCACAGCTTCCTGGACTCCTCGTACCCCACACCGTGGACGTTTCCCCCCCGCCGGAAGCGCAGGTACATGTACTGCGTCACTTCGCTCCGCTCACCGTTAGGTTGATACTTGACTGTTTTGGTTTCGGATCGCGACGGGGGCCAGGGGGTATGCTCATGTACACGCATGCCGTGGTGGTGGGGGGTGGTGGGGGGGGGCGCACTCATGTCTTACATGTCTTACATGCCGTAGTTGTTAGACCATAGATCATAGTGAGGGAAGGAGGGGGGGGCGTACTCTTATGTTTTGCATGCCTTAGCGGTTAGGTCATTGACCACGTGTCCTCGAGAGGAAGGGGGGGGGGGGAGTGTACAGATACGTGATTGTCGTAGGAAAAGTAGGGGCAGTGGGGGGGGGTTGCATGGGCTGGTTGGCTTTTTTCGTCTCAGGAGTAACGTAGTTTTATCGTCATCTCCGTAGACCCGCCACCGCACGGAGGTCGTAGTGATGGTAATACTGCTGTGCTTCACAAATTCAAGTCATCAAACGAAAGGGCAAAAACGGGCCAACAACGCGTCTCCAAAGACGCAGACAAACCCCGTCTCTATAACAACATACAGAATACAGTATCAACCAACACCTGCCACCAAAAATGGCAAAAATGCAACGAAGTAGGAATAGCCCCGTCTCAAACAAGAGACAGAGAAATAACAACAACATACCTGTCACTGGCAAAAACAAAAAAAAAGACTCTCTTGTTCAGCCTGTTACCCACAGGGGAGCTATCGCTGCACGCTGCTTGGGAAACCGTAGAAATGTTGGTGGCTTTCGCTGACGCTCTGAATCCACTGCTAACCTATCTTAGACTCATTTCTGTGGATAGAGATCGATTCGTTGTGCCATGTTAAGAAGAAAACAGGAAAAACGCCTATATTAGAACAAACTACATGTATGTGTACCTCTCCATAGCGTTTCTTGGTCTTCCGGGATGGAGTCCGTCCGTATCGGGTCCTCGTACTTGCTGTTCACAAGCATTGGCGGGTGGGAGGGATCGACCCTCTTCATGAAACGGGAGCTGATTCAGCAGCGCCACCAGAGAACGCAGCGAAGAGGGGGATGAGGGGGAGAAGACGGACAAAGAAACACCGAGAGAGGGCGAGATTGGCGGAGAGAGAGAGAGAGAGAGAGAGAGAGAGAGAGAGAGAGAGAGAGAGAGAGACACACACACAGAGAGACAGACAGACAGACAGAGACACAGAGAGCGTGGTAAGAAAGAGAGGTTGCGAGAGGGGCAGGAATGTTAGACGGATAGACAGACTGGAATGTGAGACGGACAGACAGACAGACAGACAGACAGACAGACAGACAGACAGACAGACAGACTGACATAGACCGGAGACGACGTACAGGTGGGACACGCAAGCGACTAAATAAATACAGAGTTTCATCCGCCACACAACGCAAGCACGTGTTCGTGGGCGACGTGGCCGTCTAACGAGCAACTCCTCCCTGTGCCTAGCGCCGACCTGTGCTCACGCGAGTGCCCATGCCCCCCCCCCCCCGCGAAAAACACCTCGACCAACCCATATCCCGAAAAACACGGCCAGAAAGGGATGATGTACTTGGGTGCCCCCCTTATCCCCT